AGAGATGGCTCAGCGGTTAAGAATGCTGGCTGCTCTTGCAGAGGACCCTGGTTCAGTTCCTAGCACCTACATGGTGGCTAACAACCGACTGTAACCCCAGTTCCAGAGGATCTGATGCCCTCTTCTCTCTTCTGTGGGCATTTCACAACATGGGTGCACTTACATGCAGGCAATGTATCATACGCATAAAATAAAAAATAAAATATTAAAAAAAAACAAATACACAGTTCTTTGAATTAAAATATTTATACTACTTCCATTTTTATTACTGTTTTAACTTTTCACATATATCATACAAATTCAGCCTAGAACTCAGGCCTCCTGATTCCTAGTCAGTCCTCCTATAACACTGTTGTCAAGATGTCAATAAGTCAAGTGCCAAAGATAGTACATTTTCCAAGAAGCAACTATACCTTTACAGTACAACAATTTTGTGACTCTAGGAAAGCTCTACCATAATTCAGTAGTTAACCTGAGGATGGGGCTGGAGAGATAGCTCAGTCGTTAAGAGCACTGTCTGTTACTCTAGTTCCAAGGAATCTGACACCCTCTTCTGGCTTCAGTGGGCATTGTCATCCCAGGACCTGGGTAGCAGAGGTAGGACGATCAGGAGTTCAAGGTCATCCTTGTCTACACAGTAAGTTGTAGGTAAGCCCAAAGTTTAAAAAAAGCAATAACTTAAGGGGGCTAAGGTGTAGTTCAGGCCCAGAGTGTAGGATGATTAATTAATCGAATTATATGTTTAATAAACAGGGTTATTCTAGAAGATAATCTGATTTTTTCCAGCAAGTTCTGATCCCAAGAATCAACCTTAAATTGGACAAACTAGCAAGGGAAATGAAGGGAAAAAAGCCTAAACAGACAGCAACCTGAAAGTATTGGAAGGCATTTCAAGACCTGGCTTTGTTTAGGAATGTGAAGTTAATCTGGGTGTCCCGTACTTCCAATGGAGCATCATTGCCAAGAAAACATACTGGCAAATAACAGCGAAGTTTTCTTTTGAATTCTTAACTTACTACTAAATCCCATTCCTCTGTGGAATAGGATACATGGAATATTTGGGGTCTGAAGTGCATGTAGAGTTCTTGCTAAACAGGATATATTACTAGATTTCAAAGAAAGAAATAAAAAAAGTGGCTTCATAGTCAATGCTCTCAGCTCCCCTAAAATGATCTGAGAAGCATCTACTGTAAGGAACACCACTAGCTACCTGCACCAATACGCCAATGACTGCACCAATCCAGCCAGCATTAACATTGACTTGGGGACAAACACAGAAATGGGAAAAAGTATAGACAGCAAGAGCCAAAGGCTCCACAGACTGTAGTCAGCTGAGTTATTAGGACTCAATGCAAAACAATCTCCAAACAAATCCAATTATTCAACGTACACTTCAAAGGAAAATGTAAGACCTTGTGTGGTAGTGCATACCTTTGATCCCAGCACTCAGGAAGCAGAGCCAAATGGAGCTCTGTGAGATTGAGGCCAGCCTGGTCTGCACAGCAAGTTCTATGATATCTGGGCTACAGGAAGATCCTGTCTCAAATAATCAGATACATACAGATTAGAGATGCATGTGCCAACATCTCAGTGTTAGTAGCAAAAACAATGAGTCTTTCTACAAGGGACAATATATTCTAAAATGAAATAGAGATCTTTTTTAAAGGTTAAAAACTCATTCAATTTTATGTCTTACAGGCCTTATACTGAGTTCAATATTGTATAACTGTATTATGTGAACTGTGAACCTAGAAACTTACAGCCACTTGTGAAAGAGATGTACACTTGCTCTGGAGTGTGTCACTGAATATGTTAAAGCTGTAGTGAAATGCTTCTTCTAATCACGTAGTTACTAAAAAATTTTTTTTAATTGTTAATTTAAAAAGAAAAAAAACATGAAAAAGTAAAGATATGAGATTGGTTGGAAAGGACTTTTGTTTATTTTGAAGAAAATATGAAAATATCACCTTTCAAAGATGATGGAAAACCAGAAAGTCACAAAATTTGGTCCATTTATTTGCTTTCAAGTCACTCCTATGCAGTAATTTCTTCCTTTTTAAGATATCATCACCAAGTATACTGCTCACCCTGCAAAGGTCAGGCAACCAAAACCAAAGGCCTCCTCAATCACAGGTCCACTCCTTGGCACCCAGACTGATAAAGAGCTCCTCTGCTCAGATTTCTGTGGGCCAGTACACTATCATCCTGATTAAAAATATGAATTTTTGATGACACATGAATTTGCTCTGTACTCTTTGGATCTAATTCATCCAAGTATAAGAATTCCAGCCACATGGTCCTTGTCAGACTTCCACTCTAGAAACGAGGCCATTATCTGAAACAGCCCCTTTCACTATCTAGCCAGAAGAAAAAAAACAGATGAACCAAATAAATTTGAGCAAGGCCCACATTGGAGCCTTAGTGTTGACGCAAACATCGCCATTGTTATATAGAACGACTTATAAAATGTATTACAACTTAACCTGGAAACCTGAAGTCAAACTTAGAAATAACTGAGTCATCACAAAGCCAAGACTCAGGGTCATGAACTCTGACAGGATGGACTTTGTTCTATGTTAAGAACTGGAAACTTTCACAAACTTTGTTCAAAAACCTCTGTGCAGAAGCCCCAGGATACTGGACATTCCTGGATTCAGAGGCACAGACAGTGCTGGCTTTTCATCTCAGAAAGGAATGGAATCGCTGATCCTGCTCATGGGTGCACTAAACAATACTGCAGCCAACACCTTTGTTTCCATGTCACTGAAGTCTCAGGAAGAAAACTCAGTAAGAAAAGAGAATCACATGTTCTACACTCTAGCTGGACGCGGTGGTTCATACCTGTAATCCCAGCATTTGGGAGCATCTTACTTTCATTTCTGTTGCTGTGATAAAACACCCTGAAAAAAGCAACTTAGGGGAGAAAGAGTTTATTTTAGCTCACAGTTCCAGGTTATGGTTGGTCACTGTGGGTTAAGTCAAGGCAGCAGGGGCTTAAAGCAGCTAGCCACAGCCACAGTCAAGAACAGAGAGAGGTACATGCATGCTTACTACTCAGCTCGCTCCCCACACTCTTCTATGATCCAGAACAGAGAATAGTGCTGCTCACATTCAGGGTGGATCTTCTCGCCTCAACATTTAAGAAAATCTCTCACAGGCCTACCAACAGGTCAACCTGATCTAAACAATTCCTCATTAGGACTTACTTCCCAGGTGATTCTAGATTAAATCAAGGACAAAACTAAGCATCAGAGGGAGGCTGAGGCAGGAGGATTGCTGTGAATGTGAGGCCAACCTAGACTCACAGGTTCCAGACTACCCAGGCTACAATGTGAGGTCTTGTCTTTTTGGTCTTTTTTGTTGTTGTTGTTATTTTGTCTTTTTTTTTTTTTCAGAGCTGAGGACTGAACCCAGGGCCTTGCGCTTGTTAGGCAAGCACTCTACCACTGAGCTAAATCCCCAACCCCGAGGTCTTGTCTTTTAAAATAAAAGCATGGTGCAAACCTTTAATTCCAGCACTTGGAAGGCAAAGGCAGACAGAGTTCCAGGCCAGCCTGGTCTACATAGTGAGACATTGTCTCTAAAAAACAAAACAGCAAACAAAAACAAAATGCCAACCAAAACCAAAAACCAACAACAAAGTAATTCCCGAAACAGTAAGTTTACGGTGTGTGCTTTATGCCTGAATTTACAGTAGCAGTCTATGGCCTTGAGAACTCTGAAATAGTTTATTCACTCTGAGAACTGATTAAGACTTGGGTTTGCTTCTTTGCTCTGGGATTTGGCTTACTCTGCATTCTTCAGGAGAGGAGAGTACGGACACACGTGGGAAACGTCTTCAACACAGCTCAGTGCAACACTGTTATTTCTATATTCACCATGATAAACAGCATCCCAAGTACACGTGCTGAGGAAAAACAGTTTCCTTACATACCCCCAATCAGTTTTCAGTCAATAGTTCATATACTCATTCAGACCTTGATACAACTTATAATGAAGTTTTAAAAACTATCCTTTAATTAATTGTAGTTCTAGGTCCGCTTCTAGTCATCAGATCAAAGTCTTAAGAATGACTTTATTTGGGGATGGAGGGCTCAGTGTGTGCAAGGCCCAGGGTTCAGTCCTAATACCATGCCTCAAAAAGTTAAAAGAAAAAAAAGGCATTATTACTTTCTTGTGAGATATGTTAGTGGAATGAGTAGACCTAGATGCGTCACAATAGTAAAATATAGTATAATTGTAATTTCCAGCTAATTATAAGCTTTCCATGTGTGCCAATTAAACTACATTTGTATTTGTATTTGTATTCTCTCCTGAAAATGTAAAATGCTGAGCATACAGTATTTTTTTTTTACATTAGAAAAAAAAAAAACTTTTTAAAAAAAAATCAAGTGATTGCCTCGGGATATCCTGACACCCTTCAACACCCTTCAAGCTACAGCCTTGACATAGGTACCCAGACATGGGCTGACTCTGCCATTCTAACAGTGCCTGTAGCACATGGCAGGGCACTCCTTCAGAAAACAAAATCCCACAAGTGTGTAAAAAACAAAGCCTATTTTATAAAACTCTAAATTCATTCAAAGTGTTAAAAGATGTTCATGCTCCCCTCCGAAGTAGTTTACAACTAAAAAAAATCAAAACTATTTTCTCAGTCACCGTACAAGTTGCTGCTTCCTTTCCTTTGGATCAGCCTCTGCCTATCCAAACCCTCCACACCTCCCCGCAGTACTGCTTAACACCACCCCCTCCCTTCCCCAGCACCACGCCCTGACTGTCCAGCAGAGCCATCCTGGCTCTCCAGTCCTGAGTCAGGCAAGGCGACTGGAGAAAGGAATGCACAGGCAACACCTGAGGGACAGGAGGCTTTGGAGCATACACTGTTTATAAATATCACACTACTATAAGATCCAACGACACAAATGTGTAAATTAACGTTATGAACATTGAGAATAACTGCTTTTAAGAAAAAAACTACTTACAATAGACAAGATACTTACAAGAGATAGCAGCAAACCGAACAAGTCACCAGCATGGTGATAATAACTCTAAAAACAAACAAAAAAGCAAACATCATTAGATACTAATGCACTGTGCATACAGACCTTGCAAGATGGCTTACATCCCTCTCTGTGCTCCCAAACTGCCATGGACTGCACACCAAGACACCCGACCTACATGGCCCAAACATCCAGCACACTGTGGTCCCTCTAGAATGTACTTGGTACAAGATTAAGTTTTTTGGTTTTTTTGTGGTTCTTTTTGAGACAAGGTCTCCTTATAGCCCTAGCTGGCCTGGAGCTCACTATGTAGACCAGGGTGGCCTTGAACTCACAGAGATTCACCTGCCTCTGCCTCCCAGGACTAAAGACATGTATGTGCCTCCACACCCACAAGTTTAAGTTCTTAATTAAACAACTGTGTCTAAAGGCAGGTGTTAATGCCACAGCTGGGATCTGAAATGGAAAAATGTATAATGACAATTAGTTTTGACAGCAACTACTTTACTTAACAGTATTCTCAGCAATGAATTAACAGTATAATAAAACTATGCTTGCTGACCATGGTGGCACACACCTTTAATCCCAGTACTTCGGAGAGGCAGAGGCAGCACTCTGTGAAATCGAGGCTACATGGTAAGTTCTAGGCCTGCTGGGGCTACAAGAAGACCTTGTGTCAAAAAGAGAAAAAAAAAAAAAAAAAGAGATGGAGTCTGAGTGCAGACCCAGAGCACGTAAGTGAGGATTTGCAGCAGGGGAAACAGCAAGCACAGACGTGAGCTGAGAGGAGATCTGGGGTTCAGAGGAAGGAGGCCTGGGTGGCTGAAGAACAAGCAAGAAGAACCTGGCAGGATATGAGGGCAAAGATGTAGCACACAGTCTATGCAAGGCCTCTGCCCCAAACAGAGGGTATCTGGAGAGATCTGATGAAGAGAACTGGTGAAATCCGGCTTAACTTCTACCAAGCTCTCTCAACTAGATTGAAATAGGCTGGGGGAAGAGAAACAAGAGAAAAGGTAGGCCAAACAATTATGTTTGTGGGGGGGGGGGGGATTAGTAATCTAAGTAGAAAAGGCTGGCAGCAACTCAAGTAACAAGTGTTGGTCAGACTCTAGATGTAGGTTAAAGGCAAAGAAGTATCTGTGAGGATTTGTGTTATAAAGCTTAACAGTTGCACAAAGTGAAGCCCTGTAAAATCACTTGTAACCAAAGCCCCCCACTCCCCGACAGCCGACTGTGGTGGCGCATGTCTGTAATCCTAGCACTCAGGAGGCCAAGGCAGGGGGATGGCAAGTTTGAAGTCAGCCTGGGCTACAAAGAGATGGGCAAATGAACAGAGAGAAGGCAGGAAGGAAGGCCAACCCCCGACTTCTTCCTCTCAACCCTTTATTCCTGAAGGCAGGTATCTTATTATCCCCAAAACATATGTTCATGAGTCTCAGTTCCAAGTTACTGTTCATCTCCTGTACTTGAGCCCCAGCTTAGAATCCCTTCCCTGTCTTTCCTTTTCCCCAAAAGATACCTCAGAACACTGAAACAACTGAGGTGCCTTTGTATTACCTGCTGGATATTGGTGTTCTTACATGAAACCTTGCTCCTTAAAACAACTGCTTCTTAGGAGTTGCACACTTCAGGATGTAAGAACAAAGAGTCACAGTGACTGCAGTTTATTTTCAAGTATCTCAGAAAATTTTTATACATACATACACACTCACATGCATTCTTAAAACAAATATATGAATCTATTATGGCATATGGTCTAAGTGCATGACTTTAAAAATTACATTTACTGCCAGGTGGGATAGTACATGTCTAGTCCCAGTGCTCTGGAAGCAGAGGCAGGCAGATCTCTATGAGTTCAAGGCTAGCCTGATCTACATAAGTTGCAAGACAACCAGGACTACCATAGTGAGACCCTGTCTCCCCAAACCAAAAATAAAATAAAATTGCATTTATGTGTGGGGGGGGGGCATACTAAGGGAGATCAGAGGACCAACTCCTGGGAATCATTTTTCTCCATCCACCATGTGGGTCCTGGGGAATTGAACTTAGGTGGTCAGGCATGGTGGCAAGTGCCTTTACCCACTGAGCCATTTGGACAGCCTTTGGTGTTGACTTTCTACATTCTGAATGTTTGAAAATGTTGATGAAGATTTGGAATTGACTGAACTATGGGGACACTAATCCCTAGGTCTTTCCTGTTCACTCCTCCACACCTGGTAAGGAGGCCACTGTGAAAAAGCTTGAAGCTTTTAGAGAAACTGCAGATTCCTAGAGAAAAGAGGGAAGTCTAAAGATAGGAATGATCAGGAAAAGTAGCCTCAGACACAGGCTGGAATTTTGTCCCATCCCTATCCAGTTGCAAGAAGGACCTGAAGAAGAGCAAGGCTTGCTTCCTCCAGCACATCCAGAAGGGGCACCATTGGTCCTGATAACCCAATTTCCCACTGCAGTTGTGCAGGGGTCTCTCAGGAAAGGATGCAAAGCCAAAGGCCTCTTTGCCTTGCGCCCCCCCTTACCTATTCCTTTACTTAGTTCCTTAATAAAAATTATGTTTCAGATATTTTAAGTATATTTTATTTATTTTTATTTTACACATGTGAGCGTTTTGCCTGCGTCAAGGTAGGTGTACCACATGCATGCAATGCCTGCAGAGGCCAGAAGAGGACGTCAGATCCCCTGGAACTGCAATTAAGAATGATTGTTAGCTGCCATGTGGGTGCTGGGAACTGAATGCTGGTCCTCTGGAAGAACAGCCAGTACTCTTTACCTCTGGGCGTTTTATCCAGCCCCCTAAATAAACATTTCTTAAGCCCTCAAATCAGAAATGCTTTCCTGTATAAAGCATAGTGACTGGGGATACAGCTTAGTGGTAGAGCACTTGCCTAGAAAGTAGGAGGCTCTAGTTCAATTCCCAGCACTCTCCTTCAGTCCCCTGCCCACACACACAAAGAAAAAACCTTCAACATAGTTCATGAAGCAGTTCAGGTCTTTCATATATTTCAATTTTTTTGTTTGTTTGCAACTTTTTCTGGAGGAAAGGAAACTAGACTTCATTAGCCCTAACATTTCCATTTCACAATAAGGAAATTAAAACATGGAAAGGCTAACTAAATCTTTCCAAGGTCACAGAGATCATCCACCTTGGAGCAGTTTCTCAAAATGTAACCCTGTAACTCCTAGGAGGCACCATTTCAAGACCTGCTCAATCCAGCCAAGAGCAGGAAACACAAGGATTGCAGTGTTGTGCGTGGGACCCAGATAATGTGTCAGTGCAGGTCCAATACCAGAATCATTACACTGGGGCTAGAACCTGAATACAAACAGCCAGAGTTCCTTCCTTACTGCACTTAACAGGAATGGCACCAGACCCCACAGATGGGGAAAGCAGAGTCTTAAAGAAGTGGTTGGTGATGTCAGTACATTAACAAAGGCTTTTTTATGGGGATGAAGGGAAAAGGCCGACAGTGGTGGACTGAGACAAGGTAGGGAGGAACACAACTGAGGCACTTTGTGTCTTTAACTCCAGGAGGAGAAAAAAAATCTAAGTAAGTTGGGTTAATACAAATTGTTTTAATAACCCTGGAATTCTGACACTACATCAACTGCTATAAACTGGATATATGACCCTGGATAACTGTTATGGGGAGGTGGTGCTTACACATGATAGAAATTCACCTACCATTCCCTTATTTATTTATTTGGTCTTTTTGAGACAGGGTCTCCCATAGCCCAGTTGGCGTGGCACTCGTTCTATAGACCAGGATGACCTCGATCTCACAGAGATCCACCTGCCTCTGCCTTCCAAGTGCTGGGATTAAAGCAAGTGTCACCATAACCAGCCCACTCCCTTTTTTAAAAAGTGGGTCATTTTCAGGCTAACAGAAAGAATATTTATTTTATCAAGTCATTTATAAAATACAGCAAAAGGGGCTAACATCACAAAATAGAGTAACATTTCCTTTAATCAGAATTCCCACCACGGACACTGTCTACTTTGTATTCAAGTGCAATGGGACCAGCACTATGCAGCCACTTAATTAGTGTCCAACATCAAAGCAAGAGTCAGCTTTCTGACAAGCTGTGAATTCAGAACAAGTGTCACCTTCACATGATAGAATAAAAATCAAAAGAGGAACTATAAAGAGGACGTTTCAAGGTTCCTCTGAAAAGATCTGTTTTACACAGCAATATAAAAGTTGACTTCCAAAACAAAGAGAGCTGCATCTAACAAAATCTTGGACCAGGGGAGGGGGAAAAGAAATCTTTCTTAGCCAACCACTGCAAATTACTTGTTTACAGGCAAGGGCAGGAGCGCGCTCCGGGAAAGGTATGACGCAGGGGTTTCTAAACAAAACCCTGGGCTCCGGGTGATTAACTCGTTCAGATCAGGCCCTCACCCACTCCCGGGCTGGGCCCACTAGATGCAAGGGCTGAGCTCAACACTCTAGAAAGCTGTTTGGGTTCGCCACTGCGACAACGCAAGGGGCGGAGAGGATTTCGGGCTCCTCCGACCTTTTCTCTGAAGTTTGGGCAATCGCAGCCTCCAGTGCGCAGCGGGAGAGCGGCTCCGGATGCACCCTAACTTCTGAGTCGTGGTGCACTCCTCCCGCTGCACCCTCCCCACGCAGGTCCACCATCACAAAAAGCAGTCCCAAAAACTCATTTCCGGAACGGTACGCCAGAGGTGACCCACGCTCGCGACGGGAACACTGACGGGCTCCCGGGATCGGCCGCGGCCTGTGATACTCTCCTCTGATCCTCCCCGAGCGGTCCTCCCCAACGTGATCATCCCCGCGCGATCATCCCCTCTGATCCTCCCCGCACCGTGGTCCTCCCGGCACCGTGATCCTCCCCGTGCCGTCCTCCCCGAGGCGGCCCGGCTCACTTACCCCCGATTAGGACCCTTAGGGATGAACCAGGGCACGAGGAGACCCACGAAGCCCCAGAACACGCTCATCACGATCAGAGGCACGGTGAGGCCGTGGTACGCCATGCCGGTGGCCGTGTTCGCCGCCTCTCTCAGGACACACCCGGAAGTGTCAACACCGGGCCACGTGACCTGCGCGCGCAAAGCCCCGCCCCCTGCGCCCCGCGTGACTCTCCAGCCTGACTCCGCCCTCACCTAGTCTGTCTCAGGGCTGTGGCTTTTTGGTGCTTGGGCATGGGTCCTCTGAGAGGTGAAGAGCCAGTTCACCTGGGGCTCAAGGTTTCTGGTAAGAATTTAAGCCCATTTATGCGAAGTGTTCTTTACAGCTTTATCTGCATCTTAATGCGCAGACGTAAAGAGCTATTAACAGTAGTAAATTACTGTTAGTGGATTCCTGTGCCAGGCTCTCAGCTTTCCGGAAATTCATCTATATAGTCCATGAGCTGCTCGGAATTGTTATCCCTGATACAACTGAAGAAACTGAGGCCCAGAGAGGAGGGTATGGATCTTAGCCACAGTCACATAATGAGTGGAAAGCCTCTGATGACTCGATTTTCAAGACCATGGCTGTTGACTGTTGGCTCTACAGTACGTGTTGTGCACCGTGCCAGGTTCTGGGGTTACAGAAGTATACCAGACACCCCTCAGAGAAGTCACATTCTGGGGAGGAGATGCACCTGCAAATAGGCCACAGTACAGAGTGACAGCAGAAGATCGCCAGGCTCTGCTTTGCACACCTGCCTGTTTCCAGTCAAGCTTCAAGAGACGGGATTAGCCAGAAATATAAAGAGTTTTGAATGTTTGCCAGAATTGTCATATGTAAATTATAGTATGCTAGATGGTTATAGGAAGAAAAGAGGAAAATAATTATTTCTTTTTTAAAATCTGTTTTGAGACAGGGTCTCCCTGTAGCCCCAGCTGGCCTGGAACGCACTTTGTAGACCAGGCTGGCCTTGAACTCACAGAGATCCGCCTGCCTCTACTTCCCAAGTGCTGGGAAGAATTCTTTTTTTTTTTCTTTTTTTTAAAATTCTTTTCTTTCTTCCTTTCTTAGTTTTGTTGTTTTTTGAGGTAGGGTCTGACTATGTAGCCCTGGCTGGCCTGGAACTCACCTTGTAGACCTGACTAGACTCCAACTCACAGAGATCTGCCTGCTTCTGCTGGGACTAAAAGTATGTGCCACCATGCCTGGCTAAGGAAAAAAATTCTTAGACTTTTTTTTTTCTTCCTTTTTCCTTGAGAAAGGGTCTTGCTATGTAGAACAGGCTGATCTCCAGTTCACAATCCTCCTGCCTCTAATTGCCAGGTGCTGGGATTACAGATGTACCACTGCATCCAGCTGAGATTGATTGTTGAAAAAGCTCACAGACAAAGCAAGATGGAAAGCAGATGTGTCCCCTGAATCAGTGTGTTGTACCATGATGGACCATAGTTTCTGGCAATAGCCACACCTCCTGAGTTCTTCATCAATGGATTCCTGAATTAATGGAACATCTGTATCAGCTTTTCAAACATGATTCTAAGACTTCAACTGTTCACCAATACAGTAAACTGGATGGCCTTCTTGTTTTCACTTTTTAACATATTAATTTTACTTTATGTGTATGAGTGTATTGTCTGCATGTATGTAAGGGCATCCATGTTGTGCAATGCCCATGGAGGTCAGAAGAGGGCATTGGATCCCCTGGAACTGAAGTTATGGATGGTTGTTCGTAGCCCTATGGATGCTACGAACTGAACCCAAGTCCTCTGCAAGAGTAACCAGTGCTCTAGAGTAACCTCCGAGCCATCTCTCCAGCCCTTTTTTTTCTTTTCCTTGAGGAATTATTTATTTTTAATCAGTTCATCTTTGTTGTACTGATAATGTTTCCTCCAAAACTTTGCCCAACAGAATTTTATTATCTTTAAATTCTAGGCTGAGGGGCTGGAGAGATGGCTCAGTGGTTAAGAGCACTGACTGCTCTTGTAGAGGACCTGGGATTGGTTCCCAGCACCCACTGGCAACTAACAACTGCTCATAACTCCAGTTCCAGGGGATCTATCACCCTCTTCTGTCCTCCTCTGGCATTGCACGACATGGGTGCACTTGCATACATGCAGGCATAACACTCATACACATAAATTTTTTAAAAAGATGAAAAAACTTTATCATCTAGACCATTTTTAAGTAATTATGTTCATGGTATTGTTCAAACAATCTCTAGAACTCCCTCTGTAGCCCAGGCTAGGCTCAAACTCTGTGATCCTCCTGCCACAGCCTCTCAGGTGCTAGGATTACAGGCATGCGCTACCACACCTGGCCCTTCTAGAATATTTTCATATCCATTAAACAACTGGCTTCCATTACCTACCACCATCACCACCAGCTGTTGGCAACCACAGTTCTACTTTGTTTCCATGCATTTGACTGTTCTAGAACTGTCTATAAGAAGACCCACACAGCATTTGTCCTTCTGTGATGGGCTTTTTCCACTTAGTATAAAGTCTTCAACATTTTGTCCGTTTTGTATGTGTATCAGGATAAGGTAGGGTTTTAGTAAGCAGTCTAGGCTGCCCTAGAACTGGCTATGTGGTCTGGGGTGGCCCCTAGAACTGGCTATGTCCTCAGCACCTAGGTAAAATGCTGGAGGTAGAGGCAAATTCCTCTAATCCCAGGACAGGGGAGGCAGGGACAGGAAGACCCATAGAGCTCAATGGCCAGTCAGTACAACCGAATTGTTAAGTTCCAAGTTCAGTGGCAGACCCTGTCTAAAAAAAATAAGGTGAACAGGCTAGAGAGATGGGTCAGCGGTTAAGAACACTGGCTGCTCTTGCAGAGGATCGCAGCACCTACGGGGTGGCTAACAACCATGTATAACTCCAGTTTTAGGGGATCCAATGCCCACTTTTGGCATTGTCAGGCATTAAACTCAAATTAAAAAAATTTTTTTTGAGACAGGGTCTCCCAGTAGCCCCAGCTGGCCTGGAACTCACTTTGTAGACCAGGCTGGCCTTGAACTCACAGAGATCCACTTGCCTATACCTCCCAAGTGCTGGAATTAAAGATGTGTGCCACCACGTCCACCAAATGAAAATTTTTTTGAGTTATAAAAAAATAAGGTGGAAGACATTCAGCATTCATCTCTGGCTTCCACGTGCACACACATGTGCATACACATATGAACACTTAAATACATAAAAATGAATTTTAAAATCCTTTAAAAAGCAGCAGTAGCAGCAGATGTCAGGAAATTCTGGGATGCAGCTCTCCAGTCCCATTCTGTCTGCTTTGTTTGAATCGTTCACTGCCATCCTCTATGCAGTGGGAAAAGTCCTTATAGTTTGGGTATTTGTGTACTGGTATTGACCAGTAGCTCCCTCTATCAGTCTGCCAAGACCACATTTTCTAAATGAAAACCTGGGATTCAGTGATCTAGGAATGAGCAAATCCCTTCCACCCTCACAGTGCTTTAATTCTTCAGGAAATAAATAGCACTGTGGCTATAAGACCTGTCCACTCACCCAGCAGTCAGTGGGACCTCTCTTTTCTAACGATGAGTCTGGAAAACACTGAATTTTCTTCCCTTGCTTCATCCAGAACAGTGTATTGCAACTGACTGAAATGCAGAAGCATTGGGAGAATTCTGTTGTTTTCTATTAAACCAAATATTGGGAAATTTTGCAAAAATGTAGCACAATGTCATTCTGCTTGCTGTACTTTATGAAAAGATAATTTTTTCCATAAAAAATGTTATTTATGGTAACATGTTCTGGGCTTTCTAAAGATTTTTTTTATTTGCTTTGTTTTATATTTGTGCTGGGGATGAAGCCTAGAGCCTTGTGCACACCAAGTATGTGATTTATCAGTGAACTACATTCCAATCTTCATTGCTTCTTATGTGTGTGTGTGTGTGTGTGTGTGTGTGTGTGTGTGTGTGTGTGTGCTGGGAATCTAGCCTTGAGCCTCATGCGTGGTAGGCAAGCTTTCTATGACTGAACGGTATGTCCATTCCCACACTGATGTTATTATTGTGTGTGTGATGTGTGTGTGGTATGTGTGGGTATGCACATGTGTGTATGCATGCCCATGCACACTCATGTGCATGCAGAGACCAGAGGAAATGTCAAGTGTCTTCCTCTACTGCTCTCTGCCTTATTTCCTTATGACAGGGTCTCTCACTTAATCTGAAGCTCCAATAATTTTCCTAGGCTAGCTGTCCAGTAAGCTCCGAAGATCCATCTGTCTCTGCCTTCCAATGCTTGGGTTACATTTTTTTTTTTGGTCTTTTTTGAGACAGGGTCTCCCTGTAGCCCCAGCTGTCCTGGAACTCACTATGTAGGCCAGGCTGTCTTTGACCTCACAGAGATCCGCCTGCCTCTGCCTCCCGAGTGCTGGGATTAAAGGCGTGCGCCACCATGCCCGGCGGGTTACATATTTTTAAATGGATTTAAAATAAAGATGTCAAGCCAGTGAGATGACTTGCTTGACCCACAAGCCTGTTGACCTAGCTCAATCCCTAGAATCTATGTAAAGTGGAGGGAGAGAACTGACTTCACAAGTTGTCCTCAGATCTCCACATGTGCACCATGGCATGTGCATGCCTATAGTCATATACATACACCACATACACACAATATATGTAATAATTAATAAAACTTTTAATCAGAGTGAACGAAGACACAAGTAACACCAGATAGATACTGTCAGAAGTTCATAGCCTCAGCTGATAATACTGAACTTTTAGTGGAGTTCTACTTGGCTCCTGGAAGATTCCATTATTTGCCTACCCAACTGTCATTCAAAGCTCTCTGGCTGAACATCTCTCAGTGGACTGAGAGATAGAAAAGCAGGCACTCGCAAGCAGTCATCTGTGATTTAAACAGTTTGAAGTTGGGGTTGGAGGGATGGCTCCTTGGTTAAGAGCACTGGCTGCTCTTGCAGAGGACCCAGGTTCAGTCCTGTAACTTCAGTTTCAGAAGATCTGTGGCATCGCATGCATGTGATGCACTTACATACATGCAGGCAAAACACATACCTATAAAATTAAAATAAATTAAAAAAAAATAAGTTTGCAGTCTTCCCAAAATAGCACTGAGGGACTCGCTCAGAGAAATGGGTATCTCTAAGTCTGGTGAAAAGGCCAGTTTCCTAAACTGTTGAATTCATTCATTCCAGAACATAGATAATACCCAAGGCACAAAGCTTGATAGACAAGTCCACCCGTTCAGCACTTTCCAGCCCTCCTCTCCTGCAGCAGCCAACACCACTGCTGCCCCTCATTCCTCTTCATTCAAGAACCAGGATTTATCTGCAGTCTCTTAAGAAAAACTTTTATCCCTTGCTCCTGTGAACGAATGCATGGCCATCTTCTCTAAAAGACAATTGATTTCCTGAGCACTCTGCTTTATGTACAGCATCTTGAATAATCATCCTGGCACTTCTATGTGGCAGATACTAGTTTTAAATCCATTTTATAGACAAAACTGAGGCCTAGAGAGGGTAAACAATTTACACAAGGTCACACAGGTAGAACCAAGCTAGGATCAGCCTTGGTTTGAGACTGAGGTTTTACTGTTGTTAATCATGTTAGAAATAGGTCTGGGGTCCCAAGAAAGCAACCATATAATCCAAAATATTTCTGCAAATTAAAACCATTTGATTTCCACAGAAGAGTGCAGAGCTGCTCCCAGCCAGCGAGTGAGCACACCAGCAGGGATCCCACTAGGTTGATATTCCTAAGCAAGGGGACTCGCTGTCTCATCCTGGTTTGTTTGTTCGTTTGTTTTGTTTTATGGCTTGTTTGTTTGCTCTTTTTGAGACAGGGTCTCCCTGTAGCCCCAGCTGGCCAGCTACTAGCTATGTAGACCAGGCTGGACTCCATCTCACAGAGAGCCGATTGCCTCTGCCTCTAGAGTACTGGGATTAAAAGCATGTGCTACCACTCCTGGCTCTGTGCCTCGTTCTGAATGGTCTAGAGCTTGGCCTCACCTATGCAGTTGGCTAATTCAAAACGGCACAAGCTGATAAGCAAAATGCAGCTGTTGAGAGCGGAATGCAACCTTGAACACAAACTTTAATCTTGGAAAAAAGGCTCACTGGGGAGGGAATTTTGCTAGATGGTGTTTTTACACATTTCTTTAAAAAAGGAACTTTCTTTGTCTCATTTAACCCTTTGGTAGAAAAATAGTACATCTCATTTACATTTCCCACAGTCAGGTGCTATTATTCAATTGACTCATTAGTCTGGTACAATTTTTTTAAAATAATCTGGTGTGATTTGGATGCTTGAGGGGGTATAGCTTTCAAAGCTCTTATGTACTTATTGTGTTGGAATTTTTTGCTAAAAACTGATTCCTAGGAGATATAAATTTACTGATAAGAGTGACCAGCTATGGGGATATAGTATATGTGTGACTTTTCTTGGGAGGACATGAACAAATGTCATTCACTTCAGATAGGACACCAATGACAGACCGAAGAAATGATTCCACCCGGGTCTACCTTAATGAACCAGTGAGTGTACTGGGGTTACTTACAGGAGCACAGGTGACAAACACAGGCGCATCCCTGAACTCCCTGCATAGCTTGTGAGCAGCTCAGAGGAAGGAGTCTCTTCTTACCAGCAGTTATCACTGTGTATATAACCTTGGGAAGGGGCCTTGTGAATCTTGTAACTTTCAGAAGCTCCCTGGGCTTTTTGGTTTCCTTTTGTGTCTCAGTCTGGAGGAGATAGTCATGCAGCACTCAGTGAGGGGTCTGTGATGGATTTGGGGGAGATTAAAAATATTTATTTGTATATGTATGTGTATTTTCCTGAGTTTATATATACTACATGAATGCAGCAGCCCACAGAGGACAGAAGACATCAGATCCCCTAGAACTGGAGTTACAGATAGTTGTGAGGCACCTTGTAGGTGCTGGGAACCAAACCTGGGTCCTCTGCAAGAGCAGTTAGCATTCTTTAAAAATGTTTGTTTTTATTTTATGTATGAGTACTTTGCCTGCATGTATGTAGAAGGTGTTGGATCTTGTAGAACTGGAGATATAGACCGTTGTTAGCTGCCATGTGGGTGATGGGAACTAAACCTAAGGTCTCTGCAAGAGCAGCCACTGCTCTCAGATTGTTTATAATATACACCAACCAACCCACCAACTCAGGTGTATCCTGCTCACACAAGCTGCATTTTACTTATCAGCTGTGCTGTTTTGAGTTAGCCAACCACTTAAGAATGTGAAGCCAAGCTCTGACCATTCAGAATGAGGCAGAGTGGGGCTTGGTAGTCCACGCCTTTAATCCTAGCACTTGGGAGGCAGAGGGAGGCTGCAAACTCAACCATGGACTGAGCAGCTATTGGGCTTTCTGCATCTCCATTGTGAAGACAGCCAATTGCACTACCCAGACCATACAACTTAAGCCAATCTAATACATCCCCTTTGAATATATATTCATTCTATAGGTTCTGTTCATCAAGACCTCTAATACCAGCTATACATTTAGTATGGTACGAAATCTAATTTTTATACAACTTTTGGAGTTCTAAAACGTCAAATTGAAAATGAAGATGAGACTCAAGTCAGAAAATAAGACAACAGTGAAGCTGCTCATTATCCTCATAGACTTGGTTCAGCGGGTGCACCTGTGGTGTGGTAGGCACCCACCCTATTGCATAGGCTGTGTGCATATTCAATATACACTAATTAAGTTTGCACGGATTTAAGAATTACTCAAAGTTCATGTGAGACAGCTCCCTCAGGACTGTATTCAAGAGAGTGGGGATGACTATCGGCAAGCACGTGATTGCTAAAGTCAAGCAAATTTGTTGATACTTCAATTTTCGCAATCTTTTTAAAAAATATTTTTAATTATTTTATATTTTTGTGTGTATGAGAGTATTGCCCTGTTGTGTGATGCCCACAGAGATCAGAAGAGGGCATTGGATTCCTCTGGAACTGGAATTACAGACAGTTGTTAGCGGCTATGTGGGTGCTGGGAACTGAAGCTGGGTCCTCTGTAAGAGCAGCCAGTGCTCTTAACTGTGGAGCTTTCTCTCCAGTCCAGCCCTTAACTGCTGAGCCATCTCTCCAGACCCCAATTTTCACAGTCTTAAAGATAAGCATTATTGCCTAGAATCCCAACATTCTGGAAACAAAAGGATTGTGCTTTGAGGCCAGCCAGGGTTACACAATGAGAATTTAAGAAAAAAACTCCCCAGCACTGGGGAGGCAGAGGCAGGCAGATCTCTGTGAGTTCAAGGCCAGCCTAGTCTACATAGAAAGTTCTAGGCCTGTTGGGGCTACAGGGAGACCCTGTCTCAAAAGACCAAAAACAAAAATAAACAAAAACAAACAAAAAAACCTATCACTGCCAAAGATTTCCCCGAGAGAGAGAGAGAGAGAGAGAGAGAGAGAGAGAGAGGGAGAGAGAGAGTTGATGTTCTCAGTTCTTGAAAAGAGAATCAGACTGCGGGCTAGGAGTGGAGCTGAGTGGTACAGTACTTGTCTGGCATGTGCAAGGCCCTGGGTTCCATCCCCAGCATGCAAAGAAAAAAGGCTGTTAAAAGATGATGTTCCAGGGGTAGGAGAGGATTTTAGATGTGATCCTGGAACTCTATCTTGAAGTTGGCCTAGAGACTAAAACTCACATGCTAATGGGAGTCAGGCAAGATAAGGACACATAGGAGGGAGGGAAGGGTCAGCTTTACTGTCCTGAGCATAAGGGAACAAGAGCACCCTGCAGCCAGGTCAAAGAGGTGTTCTCTGGAGTCTTACATTTTAAATGGTGGAGGCTTGTAAATACTATAAAAATAGAAGGACAAACAAAATTGGTGTCAGATCTTCCAGAAGCTGCTAGGTTTCTGTGTTAGCCCAGAAGAGGGGCATTTCAGTTAGAAATACTATTTAGAAAGTCTAGACCTTGGGAAGGGAGCCTGGCCACAGAGCTTCAAGAGTCTTGGTTATCTAGTTAAGAGGGGAGCTGGGAAACAGCAGTCAGGAGGCCTGAGGGCAATCTGTCAGGCCTAGTGTGCATGCCAACAGGATACCAAGCAGGCAGAGCCCTGCCTTTTCCCCTCCCCTGGCACAAGGGTTCGGGTAGGGATAGGGCTGTCCTAACCCAAGCACTGCTACGTGTGCTGCTCCACAGATCAACATCTAAGAGCATGGCAGAGGGATGATAACGGTCAGTTATAAACTAATGTAAACATCATTTGAAACTAGGAAACACTTCCAATTTTTATTCATAAATTATCAAAACTGCAAAAGGAGATTTACAGAGTGCCAGATCAGCAACAAAACAAGTAGACAATGAAATCAGCCAGAGACCCTGTGCCAAGTTCCGAAGACGCCTACAGCAAGCAGGGCTTCTGACAAAGGGCAGGTTGTAATCACTCCTGCATTTTCTCTAGAAGTTCTGCTTTATATTTGCCCTCCTCTTTCCCAACCTGCCAGGACTTAGCTTTGCATTCAAGAATTTTTTTCCTGTCTTTGTCCAGTTTCAGCCTGGTGATAACCACCTGTGAGGAGCAACAAAACAAACAGATTTATAAGTGGAAGGAACTTAGAACCGCTGCCATCGTGAGCAATGAATAGCAGCTTAGGTTCCTCCTGTTCACTGGCCTACAGCCCTCTAATTCCTGAAGCTCTCACTAGACCGTTTGTAGTTCAGTGATGTGTTAATGGGGATGGGAAATTTGCTTATTACCCTGGGCTGCCAAGATGTGCTGCTTATAAAAAATCTGCGTTTTCACCAGCTACTGGGTAATACAGGATCTATGAAAATAGGCCCACCACTCTACTTAAGGATCTGAAACTTAGGGAGAGAAGACACTACAGCACAATATGAAACTAGAGTATGAAACTAGAGTGCAAACGTGGGACAGCATGTGTCATACCTGGGGGGCTGTGGGGGAGGATGGCACAAGGCCCGGGGAGAGGTCTCTTCCCTTTTCTCTCGGGACTTTGTCTAGTGGAAAGAGATGCTTGGAATGCACGAAGCCCTCTTGCTACCAGCTTGATGACAGAGCCCTCATCAAAGATGGCAAAACAGAAGAGCCTCTAAACTCCTGATGCTACTGAGCCACTGGATCCACATGCCTGCCTGGCCTACCTGTAAGTCCTCTTACCTCAGCCACCCGTGCAGAGTGTCCCAACATGCCAACAGCCCTCAGTCAGGGGCCCTACCTTGCTGGGGTGAATGCCCACGTGGACGGTTGTGCCATTGGCCTTCTCCCGGTGTACCCGCTCAGTGTGGATGACATATTTCTTTCTGTACACCTGGACCACCTTGCCAATTTGCTGACCTTTGTAGTGCCCTTGAACCACCTAGGTCAGCACAACAGGATACTGTCAGGAACACATGGGCTAAACACAAACTTCTGATAAAAACCCTTTGATAGTCCAAAGCTAGCTATTTTCATGCTATGCATCTGTCTTATGGTTGAACATGTGGAAATTCTTTACCTATATTTGACGAACAACAAAAATCTTCCTTGACATGGGACAGTCATTACAAAAGTCATCTTGAGCCGGGTGTGGTGGCGCACACCTTTAACCCCAGCACTTGGGAGGCAGAGGCAGGCGGATGTCTGTGAGTTCAAGGCCAGCCTGGTCTACATAGTGAGTTCCAGGACAGCTGGGTCTACAGGGAGACCTTGTCTCAAAAAGACAAAAAAAAAAAAAAAAAAAAAAAAAAAAAAAAAGTCATCTTGAGATTAAAAATACAGAGCAGGCAAGATGGTTCAGCAGGTAAAGGTGTTTGACATCAAACCTAAGGACCCGAATTCAGTCCCGGAGACTGACGTGGTAGAGACTCGAGTCTTACAAGTTGTCCTCTGACTTCCATATGTGCACCGTGGCATACATGCATGTGCGCATGCGCACACACACACACACACACACACACACACACACAGAGAGAGAGAGAGAGAGAGAGAGAGAGAGAGAGAGAGAGAGAGAGAGAGAGAGAGAGAGAGAGAGAGAGAGAGAGAGAGAGAGAGAGAGAGAGAGAGAGAGAGAGAGAGAGAGAGAGAGAGAGAGAGAGAGAGAGAGAGAGAGAGAGAGAGAGAGAGAGAGAGAGAGAGAGAGAGAGAGAGAGAGAGAGAGAGAGAGAGAGAGAGAGAGAGAGAGAGAGAGAGAGAGAGAGAGAGAGAGAGAGAGAGAGACACACACACAGAGAGAGAGAGAGAGAGAGAGAGAGAGAGAGAGAGAGAGAGAGAGAGAGAGAAACAAATGAAATATAATCACTCTCAAGGTTTTTCCCCCAGTGTGGAGATTGAGCCAAGGATATTGCACGTTAGGCAGGCTCTAACACTGAATCACATCCCAACTCTCAACATCTAAATAGAAAATGATGTTAAACTGTACCAAGAACATCATACAACCATTTAAAATTCATATTAAAACTATATTATGATCAGGAGCATTGGTGGTATGTCCTTAGTATGCAAAAAGCCTTGGGTTTATCTCTACCAACCTAAAAAAAGAAAAAACTAATATAAAACCATTAGAACTGGAATGTAGCTCAGCTGGCAGAGTGCTTGCCTAGCACACAAGAAGTCCTGCACCCCCAGTACTGCAAAGGCTAAGCATGTAACTACATGCCTGGAATCCCAGCACCTAAGAAGTAGAGGGTAGGAGGATCAGAAGAAGTTAAAGGTCATCCTCAGCTACATAGCAAGTTCAAGACCAGTCTGGGTTACATGAAGCCTTGTCTCAAAAAGCGAAACAAAGCAAAATGTAGGAAAAATGCTTCAGAGGGGGTAAAAAGGGGGTACAAAGCTAATATTCTCTCTATTCTGTAACATAATGTATACACGAGTCATACATACAGTATATAATGCAGTGGGGTAGAAATACTGATAAGGGCTGCAGTTAGGAGAAAGTAAGATGACCGATGACTGTTTAGACACTTTTCTATTTTTATTTGTTTTTCTATTTTATTTATTATTTTTATGTGTATGAGTGTATTGCCTGCATGTAAGTACACCTATGTTGTGCAATGCCCAGGGAGGTTAGAAGAGGGTGTCAGATCCCCTGGAGTTACAGACAGTTGCTAGCTGTCATGTGGATGCTGGGGAATGAACCCAGGCCCTCTTCAAGAGCAGCCAGTGTTCTTAACCACTGAGCCATCTCTCCAGCCCTCTCCCCCCAGCTTTTCTATTTTTAAATTTCAAGATTCTACAATACTAATAAATTCAAATCTCATGGACTAGTTTCCCATACTGAAAATCTATTAAAAAACCCAATGAGATTATGATTTTCCTGAAGGTCTATTAAACAACACGTACAATACAACTAGTATTAGCAAGAATAGAGATAGTTGGGAGTGTTGCTCAGTGGAAGTGTATGTATCTGGCATACACAATATGGGTTCACCCCTAGTAATGCAAAAGGAAAACAGAGGAAAAAAATCACACCACATATAGAGAAATAATATTCCCAAATGACTACCTAGATTGTTCAGCTAATTTTCTAAGTCAATTTACAGGTTGAAGAGAGGACAGCCATGCCTCACTGAAAAACCCAGTCTTGTTTACAAGACCAAAGAATCTTAGGACACACTTGGAAAAAGTCTGTGAGAAAGCTAGTTAACCACCATGAAGGTGGAAGATGTTAATAAAACAAGGGGCTGTCGAGATGGCCCAGCAGTTAAGAGCACTGGGTGCTCTTGCAGAGAACTGGGTTTGGTTCCCTGAACCCACGTGAAGGCTAACAACTGTCTGAAACTCCAGTTCCAGGGGAATCCAACACTCATACACATTAAAATAAATTTTATTTTATTGTATTGCCTGCATATGTATAAGTGCACCCATGTTGTGCAATGCCCATGGTGGTCAGAAGAGGGTGTCGAATTCCCCAGGAACTGTAGTTATGGAAGGTTTAGCCGCCATGTGGGTACTGGGAATTGAACCCAAGTCCTTTGCAAGAGCAGTCGGTATGGTGCTCTTAACGGAGCCATCTCTCCAGCCCCCTAAAAAAATATTTTTAAACATTAAAAATAAAAATTAAAAAAAAAAACCAAAACAAGTCCAAAAGAGTGGTCAGGATAGAAAGGTGGACAAGCTGTAGAAGAAGCAAGGAAGCCTTGGAAGGCCAAGGGAAAGAGGCAAAGTGAGTGCAAGACAGCCTGGCCTCTGCGACCAGGCAGCTGGTGGAGCCCTTCCAGAGGCATGAGGTAAACAGGCTTTAGGAAACTCATTTAGTGTGGACCATGGTGAATTTGAGGTGTCTGGCGATATTCTGGTGGTGCAGTCACTGCATTGCTGGATGGCTCATGGGCCAGCAACAGTCAATGGCAGAGTCCCAACTGGAAGCTGAATTTCACTCAGGGAGCTGGTGGCATGAGAGGGCAGAAGGAACTGAGAGAAGTCCCCAGCACTTGAGAGTCAGAAGCAGGAGGATGGAGAAAAAAAACCAAAGCTGGGTATAGTGGCACAAACCTGACTGTAAACTCACAGCTCACAGACTGAGGCAAGAGGGTTGCAATTTAGAAGCTAGTTCAGTAAATGAATACATACACTGAGAAGTGCTTAAAAGACAGACATTGAAATGGCCAGAGATAATAGCAAACCAGACTGTGGTGTTACAGTAGCCTGGCCCTCCCCCTCCCCTGAAGCCTAAGGCTGTAGAACTGTCAAGTACAGAATAAAGCATCCAAGAAACATAACCAGGCAGCCACCGCAGTGGTTAGAGCCCTCACGGTAAAGTGGGGAGCTCTTCGTAGCACAGTGATGACCCCAAGGAGAATACGAAGGAAAAAGTCATTTTTATTATTGATTTTAATTTTCTCTTTTTTTGAGATAGGGCCTCACTCTACAGCCCAGGCTGGCCTGGAACTCACAGCAATTCTCCTGCCTTAGCCTCCTGATGTTGGGATTACAGGCATATACCACCTCTTACAAGTACTTACCAACTGAGCCATCTCCCCAGCCCCAAGAATGGCAGTTTTAACAAACTCAACTGAGGGCATTCTATTTTTCCGGTGGAGATATAAGGCTTTCAGGGTCAGAGACCTGGATCTCTGGCCCTCTGGCTTAAATACTCCTTTTCTTTTCTTTTCTTTTCTTTCTTTTTTTTTTTTTTTTTTTTTTTTGAGACAGGATCTCGTGAAACCCAGGCTGGCCTCAAACTTGATATGTAGATGAGGAGGACTTTGAACTTCTGATCTTTCAGCCTCCGCATCATCACACCTGGTTTATATGTTGCTGGGAGTTCCTGGAGATTAAACCTAGGACTTCGTGTGTGCTAGGAAAGCACTCTATCAAATGAGCTACATCCTTAGCCCCGTTTTCTGTATTATTTAACCTGAGGTTCACTTTCTTCATTTCTAAAAGGAAACACAATTCATATCTCATACACATTATGTCTGTCTTCCTTCAACTCATCTTTCTTATTCATCTAGTTAATCATTTTTCATCTATTTAGCAAGTGTTGACTGAACCCTGCTATGTGCAGGGCTAGGTACTACAGTCAGGCAACAAACAAGATAGTACTCTGGTGCCATCAAGCTTAGTTGGATGGGCAATAAACAGTGACAAGTAAATACAAATATGTAATCACGAACTGGAATTTACTAAGCTGATAAAAACGGCTTCTTAGCACAATTAGGACGACAAGTGTTGGGATTACAGACAGACGACTCCACTCTGCAGAGAACGTCAAAGGTGAGAGCCGAAGTTGGAATGCCTTGAGTTACACTGGAAAGAGATTCAAGACCTACATTGGAGGGAAAGTCAGCAAGACTTGGAAGGAAGATTAAGGGGAAGGGGCAGGTAAGAAGGGTCACTAAAGAAAACTTAAAGGTTCATGACATAGAGGACTGGTCAGACAGGTAACTTATTGAGGTACAGAGGCTGGGAGGAAATCAGATTTTGAAAACAGTGGGAATGTCTGGCCATGTGTCTCAGTAGCAAAGTGCTTGCCTAGCAGGCTCAAGGCCCAAGGTTTGATCACTAGCACCAGAGTTCAAAACAAAACACCAGCCTAAGTTATACAGTGAGACCCAGTCTCAAAATTAATTTGTGGAGGGGGGTGGAGAGATTTGCCATCATAATACACACATTTAAATGCTGAGAAAAGAATACCACCTATTTTTGTATCTATATAGGTAGAGGATGCTGAACAAGAATTACTAGACCAGGCCTAGGCCTTGATGAACTCCAGGAGTTAGGGATCAGAGAGGAGAAACAACCAGAAAAGGAGTCTGAGAAGTTGGAAGCAAACTGAAGACATCAGCTTTCGACTACAGTGGTGCCACATATGCAAACTGCCTCTGAGAAGTCAAGTCTGATGAGACCTAGATGTGCCCACTGGATTTAGCCACAGAGGTTACTGGTAACCTCAGTCTAAACCGGCTTTTCCAGCAGAACTGGGGTTGAGACAGGAGGGCATCACAATTGAACAGGAGGCACAGGGTAACAGCCCTTTGGGGAAGCTTGGCTATGGAATGGGGAACAGAGCAGCAGCTGGAAGGAAATGTGGGGAGAAGGAAGAAAATTTGAAAAACTTCCAGCTTGGTTGCAAAATAGAAGAATCTCCAAGGTTGCAATGGCCCGAAGGTACTTGGCTTTCTCCTCTAAAGGTGGCACTAATTTTTTTCTGGTAGATATTTTCTTGTGGCTCAGGCCTTTAATGCCAACATTTGGGAGGCTGAGGCAGAAGGATCTCTGTGAGTTTGAGGCCAGCCTAGTCTAAATAGCAAGTTCCAGGCCAGCCAGGACTATATAGGGAGACCCTGTCTCTAAAACAAAACAAAAACAACAACAAAAAACAATAACAAAAACCACTACCACCAAACAAAAAACAAGACATTTTTTCTTTTTTTATATATATATATTTTATTGAGTTTTTAAATTTTAGGTGTATGGGTTTTGCCTGCATGTAAGTGCACCTGTGTTGTGCAGTACCCATGGAAGTCAGAAGAGGGTGTCGGATCCCCTGGAACTGGAGACAGTTGTTAGCTGTCGTGTAAGTGCTGGGAATTGAACCTGAGTCCTGAGGTGTTCTTAACCTCTGTGCCATCTCTCCAGCCCCCAACACCACGACATTTCTTATCAGGCAGCCTTTTGTTATTTTGCCTACCTCACCCCATAGGCATTTGTAATTTCCCCATCCTAGAACATGTTCAATGGGAAGACTCCAAGAGAAGACAAAATGAACCACTCCATCACACCTTAACAGCTCACTCCACTTAACACCCACCATATGCTCAAGCTAACTTACCCCTCAATCTTCAGATGTCTACAATACACAAACCCCTTCACTATCTGTCTTAGTTAGCTTCTCTATTGCTGTTAAAAAACACTCTAATCAATATCAACTTGGGGAGGAAAGGGTTTATTTGGCTTATATCTCCCAGGTCACAGTCCATCACTGAGGAAGCCCAAGGTAGAAACTCAGGGCAGGAACCTGGAGAGAGGAGCTGAAGCACAGACCATGGAGGAAGACTGCTTACTGACTTGCTCCCCTGGCCTGTGTTCAACCTCCCCAGGGGTGGCACCACCCACAGTGGGCTGGGCTCTCCCACATTACTCAACAATCAAGAAAATACTTTACAGATCCAGCCACAGGCCAGTCCAATGGAGTGTCAAGTTGACAACTAAAGCTATCCAGCACACTATCTCACTTTACTCTCTTAAAAAATAAATGGTTCTTAACTGGGGACAGGACATCTAGCAGTAGCCGGAGATAGTTTTGGTGGGTGCTATGGTGGCAAAGGAGACTCCATGCTACCAGCACCTACTAGGCAGAGGCCAGGGATGCTGTTAAACTTTCTGCAATGCACAAGAGAGTCCCCAACAATGATCCCACCCAACTTATTGGTGGTGGCAAGGCTAAGAAGCCCTGTGCAAACGTGAGCTCCACAGAGCAGAGACTGTGTCTTGTCACTGCTAGTGTCCAGAGCACTGCTAAGTGCATAGGATTCCTTCCAGGAATGAATCTAATCTCAGCCTATTTTGTTAGCCCCTGCCCTGTCACATTCCAAGCTCCAGTGCAGGGAACACAGGGCTGGTACTTCTCGGCCTGTGTGATGGTTTTTCATCATTTCTGCACATTTGGCTTGCTGCCGCCGCCCCATTTTTCCTGCCTCATCTACTACCATTACATGGCCCACTCCCACAGATCCCAGTCCACCAATCTCAATAAACTCGGAGATACTGCGACTATTCTCACTTTCCTCTCAAAGGCTGGCTCAAGAAGTCACCACCCCAAGTAATACCTGGCAAATGAAAAGGTCAATGGCTAAGTTTAAAAGATTCTTGCTTCCTTGGCATACTGTTTTTCTCACTTTTAAGAGGTGAATGCTCTGAGGCAGGGTGGGCACGGTGATGGCTCTGGCCCAGCACAGCGGCTGTCACATGTCCTCATGGGTCTCCAGGGTATGCAAAACTGTGACTCTCCCAGGGTCAAGTGCAGAAGATGGTTTCATGCTAAGAGGGTGACTGTGCTCCTGGGTAACTAGAACCTGGAGGAAGCCTGGATGTACCTGGACCTCGTCGTCCTTCCGGATGGGCATGGAGCGCACGTTGTATTTCTGCCGCAACTCCTTAGAGAGGGGGGAAGACATGATGTTGCTGCGCACGTTGGAGGGTGTACTGAAGTGGCGCTTGCTGTTTTTGCTGCGGTTCGATGTCACGAAGGGGTTAAACTTCATGGTGACAGTCTGCAAAGAGGGGCGGCGGTGGCAGGGAAGGAATGCTTAATGTGGTCCAGGACACGCCTCCCCACCGGGTGCAAGGGCTCCCGGGGCGAGGTGACCTCCCAGGTGACGTGAGCGGTGTGAGTGCTGCACGGGGTGAGCCGATGTCGGGGTGCTGCGTGTCCCCGCGGCCGCTACGGAAGGGTTCCACGGGGCGATGGTCTTGAAGGTTCGAGAGGACAACCGCCACTTACCAGCTCGACTCAGGCTCCTGCGCTGTGTGCGCAGGGCCGGATATGAGGTTGTACTGTGACGTAAGCGCAGAAAGTTGTGAATGCGAGCGGAATTCCTGCCTTGGGAAAACAGAGCGGCGCCCCTTGAGCTTGGCTGGGTTGGGAGCCTCTATCTTTCTGCTTGTGCAGCGGGACAGGGCGTCATGCAGGAACCCCTAAAAGAGAGGATGTCTGCAGACAAAGGCCTGCAACAGAGACTTACTGATGCTGACTTTTTGGTGTTGGGTTTTGTGTTGAGGATTAAGCACAGAGCTGGACCTTTTCAAGCCTGACCTGGTGGTGGCACATGCCTGTAATTGCAGTATTGGGGAGGTGGAGCCCGGAGGATCAAAAGTTGAAGGCAGGCCTCGGCTACATGAGACTATCTCAAAAACAAACGCTTAAAAACCCAGACCCATTCGTTTGGGTAGTTAGATAGGCATTAGCAGGCTTGGAGGCCACTGAGGATGGAAACAGCCCCCACTGCTTCTACCCTGATGATCAGCTTGGCTTCCCACTTCCTGTTTCCCTGGTAACACAAATTTTCAGACAGCAAAGCACTACAACTGCCCTTTAAAATTTAAAATACCAAGCAGGGCATGGTGGCACACGCCTTTAATCTCAGCTCGGGGAGTGGGGGGGGGCAGTTCGCAGGGGCAGAGGCAAACGGATCTCTATGGCAAGTCTCCTCTACATAGTTTCAGGCCAGCTGGGGCTACAGGGAAACCCTGTCTCAAACATGAAATGAAACGGAAGATCTTAAGACACTGGCCAAAACGGCAGCCTTGCTTGACACTGGGCATCCTCGTCCTTTGGACAGCCCCATCCCCAGCTGCTGGCAGAACTCCATTGCCCAGTCTGCCTGCTTCCTTGGATCGTTTCTTGGACGCTTTTCCATCTCTCTCTGCCAGAAGTGGCTGATACTTACAGCTTGCCTGCACTGCTGTTGTCTCTCAAACTCCCAGTTCCATTTAAAAAAATTCACTTATCAATGAGATTAAAAACCATTCCCTATTCCTCAGTAACACTTGTTACTGAGCCACATGCAGTCCTAATCCCTTGCAGATGTCCTTTTAACCATATCAATAGTTTCTGATGTTTCTCATCCAAACTTTCCTTTTCTGCCCCTGTTGCCCTCCCCTAAGAGGTGTATAGAAGCCACACGGGTATATAGTGCACAGTTATTCTCAGTATCCAGGAGGATTGGTTGCAGAACCCTCATCCACGGATGTGTATGTCCATTCCATCAAATGTTCATAAGGCTTGCATGGAACCTGTGTCTATCCTCCTGTATACTTAATAATCTCCAGGTTACTTATAATATCTAGTACAATGCAAAACTATGTAAGTCATTCTTATACTGCATTGCCCAGAAAATGGGAAAAAATGTACATATTCAATAGAGTTGAACACCTTTTTCTAAGTATTTTCCATCTGTGGCTGGTTGAATCTGTGTGGAACCTGCCCATTTGGAAGGCAACTTGTATATTGTCCAAGTTTTTTAAATACCATGACACTCTTTCCAAATGCCATCTGACTGGCTTCTTCAGAATTACCAAGAAATTAAAAATGCAAAATTGTGCCTTACCACAATTTCTAGATAACCACATGATAGAAGGTTTATTGAATTATAAATTATTATTGTTTATTGAGTTATATTGAAATGAAAATTAAACTTTTTGGTGCTGGGGATTGAAGCCAGGGCTCCAACATATTAAGCATACACTGTACCACTGAATTATGATTTCCCTGTCCCTGAAATCTGAACTTTTTTTGATACAGGGTATCCCTATAGACCCAGTTAGCCTTGAATTCACTATGTAGACCAGGCTGGCTTCCATCTCACAGAGATCCACCTGCCTCTGCCTCACAAGAGCCAGGATTAAAGGTGTGTGCCACCACACAGGCTCAAATCTGAATTCCAAAAAAGCATTCTATCCCCTTGAAAAGATTTTGAGGGGTACCAACATTTGGGGATAGTTTTGGTTGTGAGCCTGAGCCTTTAACGGCTGTGCCAGCTCTCCAGCCCCGGGGATAGTTTTGAACCCCCACCTCCCCTTCGTTTGTTTAGCTCTTGCATGGTAAAATCATACCAGGTCCCAAGTGCCTCTTCCTATTGCTAGACCTTGGGAACTGCATGTTTTGGAGTCTTAGTTTTCTGATCTGTAAAATGAGTATGATCTTGTCAGATTGTCAAGAGGATTAAATGAGTTTAGTAGAATGTTCAGAACAGTGTCTGGCACACAGCATTCCGTTATAATCACATTATTCCTAAGGCAGAGGCCTATGTGTGGGGCTAGCTCCAGGATAATCCTAAGAATGGCCCATGTATTTATCAATCTTCACATTCAGACTTTTAATGCTGGGGACAGGACCCAGCTCTTCAAGCACATTAGGCAAGAGCTGTAACATTGAGCTATATATACCCTCAGTGCCCAGACTCCTATCTTTAATTGCAAAGATGCAAACCGTTAGTTTTCTGTGTGCCATGAAAACACGTGCGATGCATCACGCCCGAGGAGAGTGCAGGATGTGCTACCTCTATGATTTTTAACTGCTTGAGAGCTTTGGAAAGACTCTGCAGCTGCCTCTGGGGCCCCGTCCCAAAGTCCCGCCCACCCCTGCCGCGTCCCGCCCACCTTAGGGTCCCGGCCCCGCCCCTCCCAGGTCGGGCGCTAGCTCGGCTCTTCTCCTGCCGAGGATTGCTGGGAGCGCGGGCGCCACCTGCAGGTTCGTCTGATTGAAACACGCTGCACATCCTCCGTGTATCAAGTCTTTCCTGGTCCTGGCTGGCGCTGTGAAGGAGACATGCCATGTGGACTGAGCACTGTAGTGGCGGGGAAGGAGGGAAAAGATATCAAGCCTCCGGTGTTTTCAGGTTAGGAACCCAAGGTGCTTATTCTGTATAAAGTAGTATTCGTTCATTCTCTTTGGCCCTCCCATTCATCCATTCATATTACGTCTGCTGAACACCTCTCTGCCAGATGCTGTATGAAACTGTCATGCTCACTCAAGAGATGGGGGATCCTAAGAGACAGAAACAACGATCTCTTGTCCAAAGTCAAAAAGCCAGCTTCGGGCTGGTCCCATGCACACTCCTCGTTTTTTAGAGTTGGTAACATGGTGATGAAATTGTTAAACATCAGTAGTTACTAGAACTCTGAACTATTGTAGGATCCTGTTTAGGATTTTATTTTAGAGACCTTTGCAATCAGTGTTGGAAACTTCTGGAGGCAAGTTCCACGGGTTGTCTGCAGTAAAGCTTTTGAGACAATAGTGACTAAAGTGTTATCAATTGTCTGTGTGCCCAGGCTTCAGAAAGGGGGCAGTCACTTTCAGTGACAACACAGAGGCAGGTGCCCAGAAGGGTCAGAGCAGTCCTTCAGGGGATTTCATTCATTCATTCAATCGCTCACTCACTGGCTTCTCTGTTTCCTGGCTCCTCTATTATCTGCTCATTAAACCATTCTCTTACCCATTTTCTTGCATATTCATTCACTTATTAACTTATCTGGTGTCTCCATGAAGCTATGTACAAAGCCATACCAGAGATTTGGGGAGCCCCCAATGCAGGTATAACCCCAGGTCCCTCATGGGTTTCTTTAAATATTTGATTTATTTTTATTTTATGTGTATGAATGTATTGCCTGCATGTGTGTAAGTGCACCAGGGTTGTGCAATACCCACAGAGGTCAGAAGAGTGTCCAGATCCCCTGGAACTGGAGTTATAGACAGTTGTTAATCACTGTGGGGATGCTGGGAACTGAACCCAGGTCCTCTGCAAGAGCAGCCAGTGCTCTTAACCACTGAGCCATCTCTCCAGCCCCCCTCACAGGCTGTTTTAAAAGAAAAAGCAAAAAAGCAAAACCAAATGTCCTGGTGCACATTTTTGATCCCAGCACTTTGGAGGTAAGAGGCCGGTGGATCTCTGTGAGCCCGAGGCCAGCCTAATCTACAGAAAGTTCCAGGCCAGCTGGGGCTACAGTTTTTTTTTTTTTTTTTTTTAAAAAAAAAAAAAAAAAAAAAAAAAAAAAAAAGATAAAGTTCCTGGCCAGCCAGGGCTATAGGGATATAGGGAGACCCTGTCTCAAACACCCATGACCCAAAGAAAAAGAAGAAAAAATAAAAAGAAAAATGTTCCTCTTGCTCTCATCCTCCTCCCTCCACTTCTGGCTTTCTCTTGTGACAGCTTCAGTGGCCAGTCCATACATTCACAACCCTGAACTCAAGCAGATGTGCAATTCCAACTTTACCACCAGCTAGCTGTGTGACCAGGATGCTAAGCCTCTCTGTTCCCTCCTGGCATGCAGAGGATGCCCAATCTTACCAATGATGAGTTAGAAAAAAAAAATGTGACCTTATCGCCGGAGAACTGGCAAGAAACAGCCTCCAGGAGGGAAAAGGGTCTTCAGTGAGTGCTCTTCCATGTGTCCTCTCTTACATTCCTGGATTCTGTATCTGTCTGCTCAAATGAACCTTCTGGAATTAAGTGCCAGGATTTTTGTTGTTTTAATGGTGGGGCTAAACCTAGGGCCTCATGCGTAAAGCACACACTCTAACAATGAGCTACATCTTCAGCCTGAAAACAAGTTTTAGAATTTTTTTTTGATTTTGGGCTGGCTTTGCAGCATTTATACTAAAATTGGAAAGATACACAGAAACGTTATGGCCGCTGTGCAAGGATGACACAGAAACTCATGAAGCATTCCATATTAAAATTATTATGTGTGTATGGCACATATGTAGAGGTCAGAGAACAACTCTATGGAGACTGTCCTTCCATCTTTACATGGATTTTGGGGTTGAACTCAGGTCATCAGGTAGCTGTTGAGCCATCTCCATGGCCTTTTTAAAAAAACATTACGTGTGTGTGTGTGTGTGTGTGTGTGTGTGTGTGTGGGTGTATGTGTACATGCACACACATGCTACAGCACACATGGGAGGTTAGAGGACAACTTGTGGGAGTCAGTTCTCTCCTTCCACCATGTGGGTCATCAGACTTGGCATCAAGTGCCTTTACCTACTGAGATATCTCCCTAGGCCCCTCTCAACCAGTTTCTTCTTCCTCCTCCTCCTCCTCCTCCTCCTCCTCCTCCTCTTTTTTTGAGGCAGGATATCCCAGTAGCCCCAGCTAGCCTGGAACTCACTATGTAGACCAAGCTGGCCTCCATCTCATAGGGATCCGCCTGCCTCTACCTACTGAATGTTGGGATTAAAGGCATGTCCCGCTACACCTAATTTTGAGCCCTACTACTTTACCTCACTTCTTCCCAGGCCTCATCCCAGACTTGATACCCATCTCTCCAAGCACTCCAACTTCTCTCCTGGTGACACACCTTCACCACTGCCTTCTGGGAGCAGCATTTCTACCCAGGTTCCCCCACCTCCAACTTGTCATTCAGCCCTCTATGGATGTGCTCTGCAGTCCTTCATATAAAGCTGTTCTCCATGAAGTCGTTGTGATCCACATTTGAGTAGCAATGATCAGAAAAGTTTGCTGAATGGAGAAATTACAAAAAGAACATTTGTTCTTTTAATGCTGTATGTCAATTTAAAATTCATCTGTCAATCTTTTGACCTTGGAAGCAGGGAGTTTCTACGAAGAAAATTTACTTGGAGTTTTCTACTTTCCAGATAAAAACCAAATTTTGACACAAACCTATCTAACAATTGCAGGATTTGGTTTCTTTAGGTGGAGTGAGAACTTTGGCACTTGCAATGGAAGACAGACTCCTCCCCAAGAGCTCATACTGTCAAGCCTTTAATGTGGTCATATTCGTGTCTAATTCAGGGACATTTGGGGAAAGGGATGACAGTTTACCTTTGCCAGTATTTCCAAAGCATTCAACTTAGTTTTACTTAGTTCCCTCTTCAATCTCACTTAATTGGTAACTAATATCTTATTAAAAGACACAGCAGTAGGTAAACAAGTACAGGCACACACACAGCTGATGACTAAGAGGCACAAAAACCTTGCCCTGGTTTTGGGAATCAGAGTCACTGAAATGTCAATGGGTTGGAAGAGACAGGTCCTGGGGAGAATAAGTGAGGAATTTCATGCAGGCTGATCCCTTCCCTGGCATGGTTTTGATGGACTGATTACCCTTTGTGTGTTTATCCATATTAGTCTAACCTATTGAGGCTTCAAAGGCCTGAAGTAAAGAAGATCCATGGAGTCCACCTTCTTTATTATTTTTATGCGTATGACTGTATTGTCTGCACGTATTTAAGTTCACCCATGTGAACCCATGTGCAATGCCTGTGGAGGTCAGAAGACATAGTTGAATTCCCCTGGAACTGGAGTTATGGACAGTTATTAGCTGCCATGTGGGTGCTTGGAATTGAACACAAGTCCTCTGCAAGAGCAGCCTGTGCTACCCCCATTTTGACCAAAGGGTACTAAGACATGGAGAAGTTAAGGATCTAGACCAAGGACACACAGCTAGAATGTAGCTGGTCCAGTTACATCCTTCAGGACTTTTAACAATCAAGGAACAGCTTAATCCAAGGAGTCTTTACTTTCTAATTTTTATTTTAGGTGTATGACTGTTATCCCTGCATGTTATGTAAGTGCACCGGTGTTATGCAGTGCCCAGAGAGAGAAGAGAGCATTGGATCCCCTGTAACTGGCGTTATGGACAGTTGTTAGCTGCCATTTGGGTGCTGGGATTTGAACCTGGGTCTTCTGCAACAACAGCCAGTGCTCTTAACCACTGAGCCATCTCTCTCCAGCCCAAGGAGTCTTCATTTTCTAATCATGCTCATAGTTCCCTCCCCTTCCTCCATGCTGATTTATCATTTTCCAGCAGCAGCAGCAGCAGAATGCTTAACATAAAACATAAATGCAATTAAAATTTTTATGTATATGAGTGTTTTGTGTGTATGTGTGCCAAGTGCACCTGTGTCACGCAATGCCCGACATGGCCAAAAGTGATTAGGACCCTGGAACTGGAGTTATGGTCAGTTGTTAGCCTCCATGTGGATGCTAGGAACCAAACTGGGGTCCTCTGCAAGAGCAGCTAGTGTTCTTAACCACTGAGCCATCGCTCCAGCCCCCTACTCTTTTTTGGGGGGCCAGGGTTCCCCTGTAGCCCCAGCTGGCCTGGAACTATGTAGTCCAGGCTGACCTCTATCTCACAGAGATTCACCTGCCTCTGCCTTCTGGCTGCTGGGATTAAAGGCGTACACCACCATGCCTGGCACAACTGCACATATTTGACTATGAAAGAGAGGAGCTAATGGGTTGGGGATGTAGCTCTGTGGTAAAGCACTTGGCCAGGATGGGCAAAGGCTTGGGTTTGATCCCCAGCAGAGGCAGCACCACCACCATCAACAACAATAATACAAAACCTAGTGTTAAAATAGCATTGGAGGCCCATGAAGGGAAAGCTGTTTCCTTCTGGATGAAAGAATAGAATCCACTATGTTTGGAGACATGCCATTGTCTCCTTCAAGAGTTAATCCAGTTGTGCCAATCCATCAACCACCTGGCCAAGTGAGTACCCCTTAGGAAGGATAATTCACCTTAAGCCATGCTAAAGAGATAAGAGGAATAAATAACCCATTAGTGAAATAATGTACTTTTCCTTCCTAGAAAACCTGCCCCCAGTGCAGTCGCTAGGGAGCCACCATGAGGTTCTGTTAGGTCAGCCTGTGTTTCTGATTCTTAACTCAGAAAGGTGCAACTTTCTCTTTTTCTTCTATCTCCTTTTGGATGCTGGCCAAAGCCTAATCATGCTCAAAAGGGCATGGTTGTCTCTCTTCCTCTCCTCCGTCTCCCTCCTCCCAGTAGCTGATGAGATTTACAGTGCCTGCCCTGAAGTTGTTCCTTTAAACCCTAATAAAACACCTTTGAATTTCCATCAGAGTCCATTCTCAAAGTATTTTATTGAAGAGACTAAGAACCTCAAGAGGGGACCCTAATTCCTCCAGTAACATATGGCATCCCATGTGGAGCTCCCTAAAATTTCTAGTAACACCAGTGCTTAACAGCAAACAGGAGACAAAATTCTTTTGTTTTTAGCAAACGCTTCTGCACAGCTAGAGCCCTACAGGTGAGGGAACTGTCATTCTGCAGAGTGGAGCTGCCTTACCTGTCAACCTTTAGTAACACCAGGATACCTTCCTCACGGGAATCAATAGATGGACTTGAGGTGCCGATGGTTAAACTTGATCACAACAAGCCCTCCTTTCTAGAACCTTCCCCAGTCCTCTACAGACATGATCTGGCCAGGACAACGCCATCTAGAATCTTGAAGGCCAGTGGTTTATAACAGTTAAGTAGCCTGCATGAGACTCTCAGTTCTCAGAGGAACTGCTTTTTAACATTTCCAACCTCTGTCCTGTAGCATTAAATTTCACTCTCTGTCCCATCCTAGCCTTCAAAACTACCCAGCCACAACCAAGGCAGTCACACAGCAGTATTTCTGAAAATCAGCCTTTTAATAATCTATTTGGACCCAGTGAGTGGGGGAAAACTTGAATCCAATGAGTGGGGAAAAACTTTCCCCTTGAGATTGTGTTTACAAGAGTAACAAGGCAGAGGTGTCTCTTCCATGGGAAACTGACATCCCCTATGCCCTCATAAAAGTGGGATTTCAACTCATGTGCATGCCACTTATTCCCCGCCCTGCCCCACCCTGCCCCACCCCCCACAGGTGCAGATACTCACACACCAAAGAGACTGCTTTCTGTAACCAGGGAACAGAATGTTTTACAAAAAAAAGGGGGGAAGGGTCAGGGGAGGCGTGAAGAAAATAAATCTATCCAAGTGGCCAGATACCAGAAATACCCAGAGGCAGCTTACATACACAACAGCAGTTAACTTATATGTAAAAGGGGAAGCTTTGCTAATTGGAATTCAGAGGCAAAAATTATAGATGGCAGAGACTCTATCCATAGAGACCATTAAAAAAAAAAAATCTTCCTACTGGAAACTCCCCTTCATTACAAAAGTATGCAAACAATCTTGATGTAAATGAAGCCCAGGCATGCAGCTCTCCCTGGGACAAGACAGCAGAGCTAAAATTCTCTGGGTGGAATTCAGGCCCGGACCACTACCCCTCCCTTTCAGGACAAAAAAAGGATGGATGAGTGGGAGCAGCAGGGAAGGGATCTACCTCTAGAGCAAGTGGAGACACTGGAGGGACCCCAGCCCCGGGGGCAGGGAAAGAGTTGGTGTGTGGTCTGCCCATAGGGGAGTTCAATGGCAAGCCGGTCACACACTGGCTGCCTGAGGTCCAAATGCTAGCACAGGCCCCTTGGGAGCCTGGAAGGTGGAGGTGCAAACAGGGGAAGGGCTGGTCTGCTTCGTTTCCCCAGCTAAGGCCTTGGGACCAACGGTGGCTGTCTGGAAGAGGTCAAGACATAATCACTGGCATTTTTCCGTTTGGATGGAACTGCACGACTATGCCTTATGTGCTCTTCCAAGGAGTATTTCCCAGTTGCACAGCCCCACCCCTTGCCTCTGCAGAGTGTAACAGTGATGGTGGGGGCACTTGGCAGTGGGAACCAGCCCCTTCACCAAGAAATGCTGTTGCCACATAGCACAGCCACTGAGGCACATTGGTAGGGGATTCAGAAGAACAAAGAATGGGGCACCTGTGACCTGCCTCATGACTGGCGGGTGGATTTTAGTATCTACCACGTAATTGGGCGCCTGCTTTTTAGAATAAGGTGGGAGTGGGGATAAGGGATAAGATCTGGGCTCTAGGTTGGACATGAAGGGACTGGCAGAAGCGAATTCCAGCTACAATCCCAAATCTAGGGGCTTGCCTGGGAAGTACCATGCTACATTGAAAGTGCCAGGTGGCAGTACCTTTGGGCAGTCTGGTCCCAAGGCTAAAAACTCAGGTTGGCTATCTTGGGAGAAAACAAGCAATTCTGTGTCCTAATGGTGGGTTGCTGTAAGATTGTCAAGGCCTAGCTGGGATCTGGTTTATGGGGACTCTGGGCTATTCCCTAAGAGAGAAAGGGCTGCAACCCCCTTCCCTACCCCAGGAGGAGTCCCCAACATCCTTGGAATACCTTGCCTTGCCTGACTCTGGTCTTGGAGCAACTCAGGGAAAGGAACACCACAACTTCAGGCAGTGTTAATTTATCTAAAATACGGGGAAGAGGTAGCTTTGGAACCTCAAGCCACCATGACCCGCCCTTCTCCCCGCACACATTGGGACAGAGAGAGGCAGAAGGAGACAGGCGCTGGAGGCAGGGCTAGCGGGGTCCCAGGTCCTCAGCACTGGACTGGATAAGATGTCAGTGCATTTTGCCCAGCTGGATCTTCTTCCAGGCTTCCGAGGCGGTGAAGATGCAGGAGTCCAAAATGCCGGCGACAGTGAAGGTCCCACCAATGATGGCACAGATCTGGAAAAGGGTGAGAAGGGAGTGTGTCAGAGGTCACACAGCAGTGCTGGAGGAAGCACTAGGCTGGAGCCCTTTCCTGCATTATGAAAGGATGAGCTCTCCCTGTGCAGCAGACATGCTGCCCCATGACACCTATTTTTTTTTTTTTTTGGCCAACTTGTCACCAACAGTACTCAGGACTCAAAGAAAACCACTTACTGGATGATGAATTTAATAACAAAAAAAGCAATCACCACCAACATCAGTTCCTTTTTCAGATGAACTCTGTATGAGGAAGGAGATTATTAGACCCATTTCACAGGTGAGGGAAATGAGGCTCTGCTGGGTCACTTCCCAGAGCTCACCAAGTAAGTAGCTGTGACTTGAACTCAGGTATGTCTTGACCTTGGAGCCTGAGTGTGAACCTCCACTAGTTTCACAACTATTTATATATATATTTTCCAAATAAAGTGATGGAGGATCTGATGTCCCCTGACCCAAGGTTATATACATGCAGGTCACATGGGACTGGATTCTGATTCTAACAGATCCAGTGTCTGCCTGTGATAGACCTGCAGTCAGCTAAACCAGTCACACTAGGCCTGGAACTCAAAAGAACACTCCCATTCTCTGCAGTTCATACTTTTTCTGTGGACTGGTAGTAAGCAAATATTCATACCCTAAACAGCAAGATTGCAACCACAGAAAGCACTAAAAGGACAGAGAGGCCTGTGTGGCTATCAGAAAGCTTACATCAGGATGACATTTCTAGTGATATTTCTGACTTTTAGGCCCAGACAATTAATTCTTCCTCTGGTTGCAGACAAGCAGGTTGTCGCCAAGCACTGTCTAATGTTCCCTGAGGTAAAAATCATCCCTGCTGAGAACAGCTGTAAGAGGAGAAGGATGAATGAGGCTGTCTATCCATACATCAGAACCACAGCAGACAGTACTTAGCAAGGTCCAGAATGGCCGATGACCTCAAAGAGCCTCCAGGTAAACAACAGGATGCTGGTGCTATCCTTTATCTACTGCAAAGCTAAGGAGGTCCTGAGTCACTTGACCAATGCCACAGCAAAAGGCTGAACTGGAGTTCAAAATGTTGGACTCTGTGCTTTGTTTTTTTATTTTTGTTTTGGGTCTCATATAGCTCAGGCTGGCCTCAAATTCATTATATAGCTGAGGATGACCTTGAACTTAAAAAATTTTTGGATTTATTTTGAGGGCTTTTCCTGCATGTATGTAAGTGCCTCCAAGCTGTGCAATGCCTCACAGAGGCCAGGAGGGGGTACTGGATCCCCTGGAACTAGAGTTACAGATAGTTGTTAGCCAGGATAGTTGGGTGCTGGGAACCAAACCTCTGCAAGGTTTGCAAGACCAGTCAGTGCTCTTAACTGCCCTGCCATCTCTCCAGCCTCGACCTTGAACTTTTGATCCTCCTTTTTCTATCTCTCAAGTGCTAGGATTACAGGCATGTACCTCCCCTACCCCAGTTGAGTCTTCGTTCCTAACATGGTGACACCCTCCTGCTTCTAAGAAATGCCCGATCAAACTTAATTACATATAGTCCTTGACCTATGATGGTTTGCTTAGGATTGTTCACTTTCACTAAGGTGCAAAGGCATGTCCATACATTGTTCTGTCTCTCACTTGTAGTGTACTACTCAACAAACTATATGAGGTATTCTCACCTTTCACTTTCTGTTAGGTGACTTTGCACACTGTAAGCTAATGTTAGTGTTCTGAACATGTTTAAAGTAGCCTGGGTTAAGGCATGGTGTTGGGTAGGTTAGCTGTATTGTCTATGTAGTTTTTTAAAAGTTTATTTTTATTTTATGAGTATGAGTGTACTGCCTGCATTGCATGTAAGTGTACCTGCGTCATGCAATGTTCTTGGAGGTCAGAAGAGGGCATCGAATCCCCTGGAACTGGAATTCCAGATGATTGTTAGCTGCTGGGAATAGAATCTGGGCCCTCTGCAAGTGCAGCCAGTGCTCTTAACCACTGAACCATCTCTCTAGCCCCCAAGTCTATGCATTTTTAAATTTTATTTTATGTACATGAGTGTATTGCCTGCATGTATGTAAGTGATCCATGTCATGCAATGCCCACAGAGGTCAGAAGCAGACACTGGATCCCCTGGAACTGGAGTTTAGATAGATGGTAGCTACCATGTGGGTACTGGGCACCAAACCTGAGTCCTTTGCAAGAGTAGCCAGTGCTCTTAACTGCTGAGCCATCTCTCCAGCCCCCAAATGTGGGCACACTGCCTTGGGTGGGAACTGTGCCCAGCTCAGCTGCCTTTAGGCAGCTATGCTCACCACTATACCACCAATGTCACAAGTCCTTTTTTTTTTTTTTTTTTTTTGCATTTTTGAGAGAGGGTCTCCCTGTAGGCCCAGCTGGAACTCACTATGTAGAACAGGCTAGACTTGCAGACAAGAGATCTGCCTGCCTCTCTCTGCCTCCCGAGTGCTGGGATTAAAGGTGTGCACCATTATGCTCAACTCTATATTTTTGACTTTGATATTTTCCACTTATGATGGGAACATGGAAAATGACTCAAACATACGCCGAGGAGCATCTATACTAACTTTGAATTTGCAACTTAAACTGCTATGCTTTACATATAATTTTGTATGTTGGTTAGTATTCTTATACTTACTGAACAGTCCTGGAGGGGCTATCTGTGGACAGACAGTTATAGACACATAACCTCTGCAGGACTCTGGATGGAGGTGTTGCCTTCACGGATCATCAGATGCCAAGTGGTAGGATGCCAGAAGACACAGTGAAGGTAAGAGGGAAGGGCACCCTGCACTAGCATTTATCTTTTAAATGGTATTTTCATGAGATGAGCTAAGCAGAGGGTTGCAAGGCCCAAGACAGAGCAGGTCTGTGTGGATGGCTTGTAAGTGGAGCAGCTGGCATTCCATGAACAGCCCAAGAAACCTGAGGAGCCCCCCAGGGAGTGACAAGGATGGGGGATGTGGTGGGGATTAGGATGAAGTGTTTTTAAACAGGCCAGGCCTCTCCCCACCAGCCTCAGCGCATGACGCAGGGGCACTTTTCAGGGAAGATGACGGCAGGGGAGCTAGTTTATTTCGGTAGAGTGGATCAGATGATGGGAGATTTTATACCACAAAATGCTTTTAGAGCTTGGATCGGAGGCTAGGAAAATGTGACTTAAGTGCAGTGGAGCAAAAAATAAAAAATAACCCTTCCCCCATCTGCATTCATCCACACCATAACTTGAGCCTGAATTCCTATGACTCACATACACCTGGCACTGGTCTGAGGCCTTCTTTCACTGGGCTGGCTCAGGGCAGAAGACGACAACACATGCACTGGGGCACGCAAGAGGATACAGCCTGTGGGGAAACTGAGGGAGCTTGGAAGCTAAACAAGTGGTCCAGTGATAGAAGTTACTGTCAGCCTTAGGACCAAGGGGACCCTGCAGTGAGCTGCAATGCGTAGCTGCTGATGTCACTCAACCCACTCACAAGCAATCCCCCTTGTCTATAGAAGGGGCTAGATTCTGGTAGACTGTAAGGACAGAAAGAATTGGGATACATTTCAGGGGCTTCCTTAAAGCTGAGAAGATTCTAGTGGCCTGTCACTGTTTTCATTACAGTGGTCCTTCATCTTCAGGGGATATATTGCAAGACCCCCAAAGGTGCCTTAAACTAGATAGGCTCAAATTCAGTATACACTGGTTTTCTCTGTACATAATACAATACTTAATTTATAAATTAGACACAGTAAGAGACTAATGATATTAAAATAGGAATATTATTATGTACAATGTTATTTTAAAACTTATAAACCATTTATTTCTGAAAATTTCCTTTCAGTATTTAGAGACTGTGATTGACTATGAGAACATGGCCATGGGTAAGGGGAGCTGAAGGATTTCACTTCCACCCTAGGTAGCAACTGGACCGAGATGAATTAGAATTACAAGGACAGGGTACTAGGGGGCTTGAGGCCATGCAGCATGCTGGAGTTAACATATGAAGGGACACAGCAGCCACCAGCACCAAGGTGATGTCACACTGGGACTCACTGGGGAAGTTGTCAAACATGGCCATTCCTTGCCTGAGAAGGTCAGGGCTCTACTATGGGTAAGGAAAGGAAGCTGCAGGTCCCACAGGGGCGGGTTGGCTCTTGGAGGCAACTTCACATGAGCGGGGAAGGAATACAGGCCTCACAGCTGATGATGCCTTGGGCAACAGGGGAAGAAATAAATGAACCAGTTGTGATGAGACTGGAGGTAATGCCGTAGGATGCCAAGAACAGCCTGAATAGGGGGCAGGGACCTGGCTACTCAGCATTGCCCTGCCCTGCAGGGAGGGGCCCAAGATCAACATAAATGAATAAAATGGAGAAAAAGCAGACGGTACCTGAAATATTCTATTCCCAGTTGCTCTGGGCCTCTCTGAGGGTATAGTGGTGAGGCAGGGAGGCATGCACCTCCTTGTTGCAAGTGACCAGCATAGGCAGCAAGACTGGGGTACCTATGTGGCCTTCCCTGCTTGGATAACAGAGAGCATGCAACCTTTGGGGTCTGAGCAGTGGCTGCTACTTAATAATTCTAACCATGGTAGAATCTTTCTGAGCCTCCATTTCTTCATCAATAAATTGGGGAATGCGTTCTCACCTCTCTGTCACTCCGCAGAGAACACTTCAAGGGTACCTAGCACTTAGTAGGTGGGTAGTAAATGACACCTAGTCTCATCTTTCAGTCTCTAACTTCATTGCTAAATGTGCTATTTTCTACACCTGAGACCTATTTTAAAAGTACCATCACCAAATTCTCACAGGGCCTTTGGGTCTCAATTCCCATTCTCTTCCTGGCACTTTAAGAGGAAGACTAGTCAACTCATTTAAAATAACAACAACAAAAAAAACAGGACATATGACATATGAAGGGACATAGCAGCCACCAGCACCAGGGTAATGGTAGGACTCACTGGGGAAGCTGTCAATCATGGCTGTTCCTTGTCCTGAGGTCAGAGCTC